GAGAATTAAAGTACTCTGCGGTGCCGTTATAGAAAGAGAAATTGTGATGGGAAAATTAACCTTTGAATATGAAGATTGTGAGAACTATAGCTGTATTGGTTTTGATTGTATTAAAGAGGTTTGAGAGATTAACTTAGCAGTGATTGTGTGATTGTCCGTGAATTTGATAAGAGCAAAATTGCACCTCCTCCAAATTTTCGGAATCTCTCATCGATGGTGTTTGTCCATGGGATTCACCAAATTCATCAAGCGAAGGGTTCTTTTTGAATTTTTGTATAATCATCTTGATGCGTTTGATGTTTGAGACTGAATTTTTTCAAACTGGATCAGTTACAGATTCATCCGGATTGAGAGAGAGGCAGAAAGATAATGACAAAATCTTTTTGAAATTTGATTTTACTAACTATTATGATGAGATTATGAGGAGATTATGAACGTGGAAAATTTGTACCTTGAAAGAAGTAAATCCAAAATTTTGAGAGTAATTTGGGGGGTTTTTTTTTTTGGCTATTGCTGAAAATTAATATTGAGTTTTTTACAATTTTATCTTTTTTTTTTTCTGAATAGTTAGAGCGCCACATGTCAGTTTTCATTTTGTACTGAAAAAGGCTTTTGGAGGGAAAATTTTCATTGTGGAGCTGACATGTGTCCTTTTTGTTTGCTGCTTTAATTAAGTACAATGGATTTTTCCGAATATTTGTCTAGAAAACGGACAGAAAGAATTCATAGATCATTCAGTGCCACAGAAAGAAGGATGAGAAGAAGAACAGTGAAAGTGTTCGAGAAATTGATCTAGTCAGCCTTATAATATTCAAGTAAAGACATAAAGATTCATTAATTTATGAATTAATTATGCACTCCTAAGAAATAAAAATCGGTTAATTCTTTTAAAATTTCTGCGTGTCACTGAAAGAGTCCCTTCGAATAATTTCAATATCTTTCATACATATATTTTTTTGTTACAAGAAAATGACCCAAAAAAAAAGTTGATTTGTTTTAAATCAACTTGATAGAATATTTAAAATACAAAATGTTAAGCAAAGTGCTCACTTTATTTATTGATCACATATTAAGTCTTGAAAATTCAGTAATTTTAACAAATAAGATTACTTGTTATGACACTACCAGAAAACCAGATTCGGGTTAGTTGATACTAGCATGTTAACTAGCCATGTTTAACTTTGGATTATTTGCTCTTGTAACAGGTTTTTTTTTTAATTATTTTTTTTAATAAGAAGAAGACCAGGTTTGGATATATCTCAATGAGGTGCAAGACCATCCCAAATGATTTGCCAGATCTTAAACAGTTAATCTGACAGGGGATGTATATACATTAGCTAGCTAGATAAGAAACTCTTCCAGCGTGAATCCTATACGGTGATTTATCGAAAACCATGTCAATTTAATTTGACTGTGAGAGGATTATTTGTAGGCTTAGTGGTTTTTCTTGGTCATATATAGTTTTACTCAATTTGCAAAATGTCAAATGTGGCGTTAAGAAAAAAAAAAGTCTTATTAAAGAATTTAAAGTTGGAATTAACAGTTACACACATAAATATGTTAATCAAAACCAACACGGTACCAAAGTGTGAATTATTTTCTGGGACTTAGAGAGTATGAATATGTTAATCAAAACCACATGTGATGGAGCTGTACGTATATATAAATGAAGTAACAAAGCGGCAAGTCTTCAGAGATGAAGGAAGACAAAATTGAAGCAGGATTTTGTAGTAATCAAGCATAGTCTGGTGGTAGATATGGTCCAAAACTCTGTGTTGCGAAGCCAATTCGGTAGTGGACTTTTTGCATACCTTTATACTAGATAATAATCTCCAAGCAAACCATGCCCTAGCTGACGAAGCGTTAAAGGAAGATGGATTACACGATATGTCCCAAAATTATTTGTTTTTAGTCACGATGAATCTATTATTCAGATATACTAATTGGAGCTTTAATCCGATGGTTAGTGACATACTCAAGTTAGATTTTTAATCTGTTCCGTTGTATGCTGCTGGATGATCTTTTCTCTCAGTATTAGCATCTGGTTGGTGGAAATATTATTTCGTATTTCTAGTTGTAATAGTTTAATGATTAGTTTAGTGATTGTACTCTCCCGTCAGTCATTGTTAGACGTTTTATGTCAATCAGAGTTGGCTGATTTTAGACGTTTTGTATCAATCAGAGCTGGCTGATTTCCGGCAACAATAATGAAGTTCTTTTTCTTTAAAAAAAAAAAAATTCAAACAAGACAATCATTTTGGAACGGAGGGAGTATTATTTCTTTATTGTCCCAAGTTATGTTGGAGTATTGTTAGAGCAAGAGTTTATCAGTTGAGTTTTTGTTTTTGGATAAAGGTACCTGCATTAATTAAGAAAGAGTACCTATACTATTAAAGAAAGAGTACCTATACTATTACATCGTATCCGATTGTAAGCTAAATTATGTATATTTTGAATATTAGTTCTACCAACTTTAATAAGTTCACAAAATTCAAACGAAGCTATTAAGGAGATTATCAGTTGAGTTGTTTCACCGAAAAAAAGAAAAAGTTGGACTGGAAAAATGTAACAAGTTGGTATAGCATGCTTATTATGTCAATGTCCGTTTGAAAGCTTACGAACAATGAGTGAAAGGATTAACATATCTTACTGTATAAGAATTCCCTTCTAATGCAACTTTAAAGTTTTAGCAAATGCTGGTATCACTTCTATCAAATACTAGGAAAAAAAAAAAAAGATGCACATATAGTACTGCAGGAGACAATTAAATAAAAAAGAAAGAAGAAATTATGAGATCATCTTGAGAGACAACTCAAAATACACAACAAATAATGATAAGCAAAATGCTTACTTTGTTTGTATGTCTTTTATTTAGAATGCTAAACCAAAGTTTAATTGTAAAAAGCTAAGTGACAAGATATTCAAGCAAAATAAGAATTGCGGTGATCCTTGACGATACCTGGAATCGTACCGCTAGTCTATCATTTATAGGCATGGAATTACCTCCAGGGAAGCCGAATCCCACTAGGATGCTTATTCTTGAACCGCCTCTACAAGACCGGTTAAGCCCTAATTGGCGTATGGGTCGGTCCGGTAGTCTTTGATGGATATGGACTCGTCAATCCATATTCTTCCTAATCAGGATCCTTAAAAAAGGAGAGGATTAATCACGCTACCAATGAACAATATAGCCCTAGTTTTATCCTCTCTGATGAGGAAAATGAATGGATGGTCGGCAACAAAGTCTAATTTCTTAAATGTGAGTGGAGTATTTGAACTTTGTGGTCCCTTACTAACCGCAGTTGCAGCAGCAGCTTTTGTACCTTGTTCGTTAACCTCGATCATGGCTTTGTGGAAGATTGATTTCACCACAAGTTTATTAGAATTTACCATGTCTTAAGTCCACCTTCTTCAGTAAAAAAAGGCAAAACTAGGCCCAAATCTTGGCGGGGTTTTTCCCAAAAAAAATTAATTAAAATAAACGTGGACAAATTTAAATTTTTCAGAAATATTTGCGGACAGAACTATATTCCTCGGATTTCTGAAATCTGAGTTCTGATTAAAATTAAAGATTCGGATTTTGGAAATCCGAGTTTATATTTAATAAGAAAATAATAATTAAATAAATTTTGTTGAATAATAGTTTTTTTAAAATTCTTAAATGAACAGTGCAGGTCGGATTTGCGAAATCCGACTTTAATTAAAAATTAATAGATCACGGCGGGAAATTTTTGAATCCAAAAACTGGAAGTCCGTAATCCGGTTTTATGAATTCGGATTTTGGAAATTCGACTGCCGTTAATTTTGGTTGGTGGAAGTAGGCATGTGCCATAAATTGGAGGACCAAAAAATGAATAAAATAATCCTGAATTGACTAAATCCGGATTCATGAAATTCGAAACTAATGTAATTCGGATTTTGAAAATCCGAGTTACTTACAGACTCGGATTTCGTAAATCCAAGTTTAACGTGCTATAAAAGAAAAAAAATTTCAGGCAGTTCTCATTCGAGAACTGAGTTGGATTTTCTGTTTTTGCAGCTCAAACAAGGGCGAATTGGAGCTTTTGATGCATTCTTGCCTCTAGATACGTGGGAATCGTTATTTGAAAGAGGTTAGATTGCAAAACCATGTTATTTAGTTTAGTTTTGTGTTATTTTGATTGTTAGAATGATGTATGATAGATTAAGGTTTATGTTGGTTGGTTGTTTGGATGTTTTAGGTGTTGATTTTGAGGTTAGAGATGAGAAATCATAGTTGTTCATGAGATATCGAAGTTGATTTATAAGTATTTTAGTATTTTATAGGTTTTTTGAATTATGAATGGAGTATGTATGGTGTATTTGTTGATTTTGTTATTAAGAAATGATTAGTTATTGATTTTTTTTTAACAGTTATCAATGGCACGTAATGTATCATACATGCTTAATCTGTATCATACAAGTAAGTATGTGATAGAGAATGGTAGCATCAACACTTTTTCGAATATGCCGGATGATGGTTTGTTTGTCGAAGAAAGGTTGTCATATGAGGGATTGATTAGTAAGATTTGTATGACACTTGGTTGGGATCCAGCACATGTGAAACTCCACATTTCTTTGATTTTCGATAGTTCCAGTGGTAGGTGTGTAGTGAAGATCAAGAATGATTCGCATTTAGAGTTCATGAACCGTGTAGATCCAAGGTCATGTTTGGATTTATACATAGATTTGGAAGATATCACCCAAGAAGAAAGAAAGCGAGTTTGGAAAACGTGTCATTTGGTGGTTTTCCAAGGGGGGAACGTGCTAGTACTTCTCGAAACCGTGATGAAGAGGAGACACCTTTATTTGCACAAGATGACTACCGGGAAGAGTCGGATTCCGACTACATAGCTCCAAGTGAAAGCTAAGAAGACTGTGATGTCTCCGGAGAGAGTGATTTTGAAGAAAGTGTTGATGAAAGGTTGGAAAATGAGGAAAGGGATTGTAGTCCATTGGCTCGACGCCATGTATATAGTAAGATGGGGAACTGGGATGCCTCATGTGTGGACAAGGATGAGTTTGCTCTTAAGATGTGGGATGAGACGCCCGAAGGAATGGACATTGGTGTTTGTTTCAAATCTCAATCAGAAGCAAAGCATGCTGTGATATTATGGAACATCCATCATAAAAGGGAATATACAGTCGCCGCGAGTAGTCCAAGGACGTGGGCTGTGCGGTGCAGAACATTTAATGTGGAAAGTGAGGATGGTGAACCACCATGTGAGTGGAAGATGCGTGTGTCATTGAAAGCTCACGGCCTTCATGAATTTGTGAGATGGCAAGATGCACATAATTGCATGACTCCCGTGAATGATAATGACAATCGGTGTGTGGACGCGTCTTTGATTGCTAGACTCATCAAGAGAAAGGTTGAGGACAACATAGATTTTACGGTAGTCGTGGCACAGAAAGATGTGAAGACCTTATTGAAAGTAGATGTGCCATACAAAAGGGTGTGGCACGGGAGGAGGAAAGCCATAGAAGCGGTCTATGGTGATTGGACCTCGAATTTCGAAGAACTTCCACAGTAAATATCAAATTTTATCCGTGTATTGAAATATTTTTAGTGTTTTTTTTTACATGTATTGAAATATTTTAACAATGACTTGTTGTTGTATAGGTATATCGCTGCGCTTAAGTTTACTAATCCTGAAACTGTAGTAGAGTGGGAATGGAAGGAGGGACAAGAAGGTTGGAACAGGGGAAATAGGACATTTAAATACGTCTTCTGGTCATTTGCACTAGTGGCTGAGACGTTTTTTGAATGTCCACCGGTCATTTGTATCGATGGAACCTTTTTGCGTGGTGGATACAAGGGTAAATTGCTTGTTGCGGTGGTCTATACCGCAAACTAGCACATTTTACCGGTTGCATTTGCGATTGTGGATGAGGAGACAGTAGAGAGTTGGACATTTTTTATAAGGAATTTGAGGTTGTGGGTTGTGTATGATAGAATCGTAAGTGTGATATCCGACCGGAATGCAGGGTTGTTGAGCGCAATGTCACAGATGGATGAATGGCGTGATTTAGATGATGGTGGCCACTTTCTTTGCCTCTGCCACGTTTGCAGCAATCTTGTGTCGTGATATAATAGCAAAAAGGTGAAGCGGTTATGTTGGAAGATGGGCACGACGCTTTCAAGAGTGAAATACAACCGTATGAGGGTAGAGCTTATTGAATTCAAACCTGCTGCATGGGAGTATCTTCGAGGGATTGGAGGGAGTAACTGGGCTCGATTGAAAGCCGGTCTTCGCTGTTGGGGCATAGCAACAACCAACATTTCTGAGAGTTACAACAATGCGTTGAAAGGGATCCGTTTTTTACCAATTAGAGCCTTGATCGATGCAACCTTTCGCAAAACTGTTAAATTCTACAGAGAAGAATAATTGTCTGCGAGAAATTGCATGACACCGATCCCTCCTGAGTTATGGAAAAAATACGAGAAAATGAACGACAAAGCAGCCAGTTTTGAAGCCACCCCTTTCGATGGTGATGATGCTGTGTGGCGTGTTGTTACTGCAACACGCCTAAGTGGCAAGGGTGGGTCTTTGCATACGGTGAACTACGATGAACAGAGGTGTTCGTGCAGGAAGTGGCAAGAGTACCGGATGCCTTGTACGCACGCACTCCAAGTTTGTCGGAGAAAAGGGGATCGGCCTATTGATCTATACCATAGTGTGTGGCACCTTCCAACGTGGCGCAGACAATTTGATTACACGGGCTTTTTCCGGTTCCCGATGAGGAACAATGGCCGATGGTGAACATCATTCCGAATTATGAGCATCTTGTGTTGCATTCGGGACCGGGACGAAGAAGAAAAAGGAGACATAGAATGCAAATGGATTACAGGGGACGCCGGAGCCGGGGGGAATGTTGGAGATGTGGACAACTAGGTCATGATGCCAATTCTTGTCCGTTCTCGCACCCAGGAGTAGATAGAAGACCTGTGAATGACAGCTGGAATTGAGAGTCATTTAGTGTTTGATAAATTTATGTGAACATTGATAAATTCGGATTGTAATGTGAACATTGAATTGTTCGGATTGTAAAGTGTGATGAAATATGTAGTAGTTTTTCATAACAGGTTTTGGAATTGTGCAAAATACTCAGCACATTTAAGGTTTTCTAAAGCACCCGGATTTCCGAAATCCGAGCTCAGACTTTTTTTTTTTTCAATTTGCAAAGGAGTCGGATTTCGGAAATCCGACTTTGTGAAAACCATCCGAGAGTTGCAATTTGAGGAGAAACAGGGGAGACTCGGATTTCCGTAATCCGAGCTCAGACTTTTTTTGATTTTGCAAAGGACTCGAATTTCGAAAATCCGACTTTGGGAAAACCATCAAAGAGTTGCAATTTGAGGAGAAACAGTGAAGATTCGGATTTCCGAAATCCGAGCTCAGATTTTTTTTTTGAATTTGCAAAGGACGCGGATTTCATAAATCCGAATTTGTGAAACCATCCGAGAGTTGAAATTTGAGGAAAACAGTGGAGGTTCGGATTTAGAAAATCCGAGTTTGACGGGACTATATATAGCCGGTCAACTCTTTCCCCTCCCATTTTTCCCCCAAATCCCGATTTAAAAAACCCTAAAAATCTTCCCTCCAATTCCAGAATTCCGGCGACTCCCTCCACTCAATCCGGCGACTCCCTCCACTCCCTCCACTCAATCCGGCGACCCTCCACTCCTCCCGACGACTCCAATTCCAGAATTCCCGGTGACTCCCTCCACCTTTCCCGGTGGCTCTCCAAACCCCCCTGGAACATCATTCCGACTCTCTCCACCTCCCGGGGACTCCCTCCGACTCTCTCCACCTCCGGCGACTTCCTCTATTCCTCCCGGCGACCCTGTGAAACTCATGGTAAGTTTTTGTTTTTCAAAATTTTTTTCCTCTCTTTATTTTTTTTTGTCAAATATTTTTTTTCTTTGTGAAACCCGAGTCCTTTTTTTTTTTTCTAATGTGTATTGTTGTGGTTTAGTTTATGTTGAATTGTGTTGTATTGATTAGTGAATTGTGTTAGTTTGTGTTGTATTGATTAGTGAATTGTGATGGTTTGTGTTGTATTGATTAGTGAATTGTGTTGGTTTGTGTTGATATAGTATTTGTGTTGGATTATAGTTGTGTGAATTGTGAATTGTGAATGTTAGTATTATGGTTTGGTTGAATTTGGATTTTGGCCGAGTGTATATGGTTTGGTTAAATTTGGATTTTGGCCGAGTGTATATGGTTTGGTTGAATTGTTTTTTTGGCCGAGTGTATATGATTTGGTTGAATTTGGATTTTAGCCGAGTGTATATGGTTTGGTTGAATTGTTTTTTTGGCTGAATGTATATGGTATTTGGTTAGTGCATTATATATTTTGCATATTGGGATTGAAATGGTATTGGTTACCTTGTGTAGGATTGAAATGGCGACGCCGGCGTCGGGCTCGCAATATGACTATCAACCTAAACATCTTCACCCGGGAACTATACAAGATAAAATGCTATATCGTCAAACAAAGCATAGGTTCCAAGCTGTCTATGAGAACAAGATACCGGACATTAAAACATTCCGCCTCAAGGGCCGTAGAAACGACAGCGATTTTTGGGGGATATACAAAAATACGGCACCGGAGGTTAAGGAAGTCATTAGGAGAGCCGGTTTTGAGGGGATCATGAAAGTAGGGTACAAAAGAGTTGATCTCGGGCTCATTATAGCGTTGGTGGAACGGTGGAGGCCAGAAACCCACACTTTTCATTTCAATTTCGGAGAGGCGACTGTGACGCTACAGGACGTCGAGGTCTTGTTTGGTATTCGGGTGGATGGTGACCCGGTGTATGGGACGACAGTTAGCCGGACTGCAGATGAATGGCGGGATCGATGTGAGGCTTATTTGGGATTCGGGCCGGTGACTGTAAATGGCCAATGTGTCAATGTTGGTATTTTCGAAGATGAGATGGGCCGCGCACTACCTGAGAATTCCACTGTCCATCGATTCGAGCAAAGGGCCAGGATACTTATACTGCATTTTATTAGCAGTTTCATGTTTCCTAACAAGACGCAGAACACTGTCAATCTGCAGTTCTTGGCCCAGGTTGAGGATTTGGATCAGTGTAGTCGATACAGTTGGGGATCAGCACTGCTGGCTAGTTTGTACTCTGGACTGTGCGAGGCATCACAGTACACCATGCACGACACCACTGGGTGTCTATATTTCCTACAGGTACGTATTAGTTTTCATTTTTTGTTTTAATTATTTTCCGCTTCCGACGTTATAATTTAAAGTTTTAACATTATTATTGCAATTTACTAGGTATGGGCGTATGAGCGGATCGAGATGATCGCGCCACAAAGAAAAAGAGTAGATTATTTGATTGATGAGACCGCTCCATTAGCTCAGCGGTACTTATTTTCAGTTCAAAATAACTCAATGTTTATTTCTATTGTTTCTTATTCATTTATTTCACTAATTCAAATGTACCCCTTTGTTCATTAAGGTGGGAATGTAGGTACACCTACGGCGACGCCCCAAGGAGCAGCACCCCACCTTTTAGAGATCAATTAACAAGCCTGCATGTTGAAGATGTAAGTACTTGTAATTTGGTATTTATATTTACTTTGAGATCAATTACCCCTTTCTTTTCGTTCCGGTTGTACCATCTAATGAAATTCTTTTCGTGCAGTTTCAGTGGCAACCATACGCACATGTCCTTCATAGACTCCCTGATTTTCTGTACACAAGGCCAAGCCATTTGGACGACCAGGTGTTGGATGTTCTGTTGGGCTATTAGGGAATCCCACGAGTCGGGCAGAGTCGTAAGACAATTTGGATACATACAGGATGTTCCCAAGCGCCCCATGATTAAAGATAACGCAGCATTCCTTCTCGATCACGCCCACAGTATGTCTAGGTATCCTAGCAATAATTGGGTGGACCACCATTCCGCAGTACGTCGTCATTGGAATAGGAGAGAAGAGTACGTGCTACGAGATTTGGAGGAAGGAGATCCTGGTTCCATATATGAGGGGTACTATGAATGGTTCATGGTGAACACTGTTAGACTGATATCCAATCCCGGTAATTATGAACCTCAAGGATACGAGACTTGTTTGAGCCGCGTGAAATTATATGTGAGTTCATTCTAGATTTCTTTTATTATTTCTTATGTTTTCATTTTTTTTTTCATTCTTATTTTTTTAGAATTTTACTCTCTTAATTAACGTCCCAATTTCTTTTCAGGGTGAACTATTGAACAACATTCGCGTAAGTACCGAGAGGTTTAGAGAAAAACGAGAAGATGATAATCTCCTAGACGAAGAACTCGACAAGCATTTGGACGATATCATCAATCAAACACATGCTGCTTTAACCTTGGGCGCAAATGATGAGATGGAGGTGGAGGATACCCAAATCCTGGTTGATGAAGATCCATCTTTGCTCTCACAACCTCCGCCGGGTAAAAAAGCAAAACCGTGGTCGAGAGATAAGATTGGAGGAGGAAGAAAGAGGAAGGTCACAATCCCCCCTCGGACATCGCAACAACAAACTGAGGGTCAACAAAATAAGGATCAAGCACATTCTTCTCGAGGCTCGCGCATCCAGGTCGAGACTCATTTTGAAGACGCTGGTGGACTCGAGACTTAGTTTGACCTTGGTGGACCCGAGACTCAGTTTGGCCTTGGTGGACCCGAGACTCAGTTTGGTGGACAGTCGCAACCACAACGGGGACTCAAATTTCTCACCATGGGAGAGTCCCAATCCCAACCCCAACTCGAGGCTCAGTTTGGTGGACAGTCGCAACCACAACAGAGTTCAATACTCACGTATCTTAAGAGGGGAGACAGGATTCGGCAGGGCCAAACAAATACACTCCGGATGCGTACAATAAAGGAAAAGAGAAAAAATGAGACATTTGATGTATTTTGCACATTTAAAGTAGTTTTTGTATTGATTTTTGTATGAAAGTTGATTTGCTTTGTTGTTAATCGAATGCCGTTTATTGTTTTGTTGCCATTAAATTTCTGTTTTCCAATATTTCATTGTTGTTGGCGCTGTAAACAGGTTTAGGACTGGTGAAAACCAGTCCAATCTTTTCTTTTAGTTCTGACAAAGACTCAGATTTGCGAAATCCGAACTCAGATTTTTTGTAAAGGATTCGGATTTCGGAAATCTGAGTCTGTAGCCAACTGAGAGTCCCCATTTTTCAGAAAACAGAGGAGATTCGGATTTCAGTAATCCGAGTCTACGTATATTCGGATTACCGTGATCCGGTTTTTCCCAAATTTAATTTTTCAACACATTTTTTTTTCTCTATCCAAAAATTAATATTTTATTCATAAATACGGATTTATAAAATCCGGATTTAGATTAATTACACTAATTTTTATCATTAACTTAATATCGGATTTACGTAACACAAAATCGGATTTTTATAATCCGAGTTTATTGGGGTTCGGATTTCCGAAATTGGGGTTCGGATTTCCGAAATCCGAGTTTTACCCCCATTCGGATTTCTTAAATCCGGGACATATAAGTTTGTCCACAAAATTTTTGAAAGGTTTATTTTTATCCAGGTATATATAAAAATATATATTTAAGGAAAAAATTCCCAAATCTTGTACAAGTTTGGAAGCTTCAAACCCAAATGAGAACCTGAACTTTGGTATGCGGAAATCACCAACCATAACCCTTTGCTGCGGCAAATGACGCTCAAAGAAATCAGGTTGAGAACCAATCTTTTTTGACCAAAGGGGCTGCCATCGGCTAATACGGAATTGAAGATTTCAGAGGACAAAGTGTTCAGTTCCTCAATGGACTTCGAATTGAGGAAACAGAGGAATTTGTCTCAGGTGGGGCCTTTCGACCCGGCTGCAACAAAGCTCAAAGCAACGTTGAGGGAAAGCGGCGATAACACGAATTGGCGTTAAATTCAATTTATTTTAAGATGATCGGTATCGCCAGTTTCACTGTGGCGGCGTTCTGGTTCTCGGCCAGTTTCATGATCTTCTCTGTTGGTTGTTTGAGTAGCGAGAAGTCATCCTTTTCAAGTGTTTTCCTCTTTTTATTACTGGCAATAAGCCCCGGAGGTGAACTCATCATCCTCCTTTTGTTGTTAAGTTTTCCAGGCGGAGGAGGAGTGGCGGCTGAGATTAATACCATCTTCCTAAAACACTTGGAAGAATTCCGGTGAATAAAGAGAGAAGATTATGAAAGAAACTAGCAGGCAACCCTGCGGAAGAGTGATAACTGAATGGTTTTATAGTAGGGTTTGACCGACCGACTTGTATATTCTTCTTTGGGCCTTGTATATTTTTTTTGTAGATGTTGAAGTGCGCATGAATTAAGAAAACAATGATTTAAAATTGTGAACAGTTTGCAATATGCAAACAAAATAATAATAATAATAAATAAAATAAAATAAAATTTATTAAATTTATAATTAAGTGACAAAACAGCTAATCTTTACCGTTTAATTTCCAGGGAAAGAATGATTAAACGTTTAATTTTTTTTTTATTGATACACATGCATGTTTGAATCCTTACTGTTATGTGATTTCCGTGATGAGATTTCTTTTTTATCTAAATGAAAGGGGTATATCATGTTTAATTTGTTTTGTAAAGCAGTCATTGAGAATCTTAGAATCTGATCCCGCCTCTATAATAGTGGCTACTAATTCTTTGGAGATCAATAAACAACGTAGTTACAAAACAAAGGTCCATATGGGAATATGAATGCAACAGTAGTTAAAAGATTTATTGGGAAGGTTTTTGCCTTCTGAAAAGGACCTACCAATGCAGATGCTGTATCACCACGTAGGATTATACAACTAGACACAATAAATAAGGTAAACTAATAATTTTTTGGGGGAAAGTGATAACTTCTACGGGAGTTTAGCAACAAAATAGGGAGGTGATAGTACTTGTTACACTAAAAACAAGAATACAACTACTGCATAGAATATTTTTTCCCAACTCAGAGCTGGATTAGTTAGAGCAACGAATTCGGACACCACAGTACTTATTATATCTAAAAAAAGGTGCTCAACCCCATATCTTGTAAGCTCGTATTTCACAACCGTTAAAAAGTAGTACATCATTTATTCCCACGGTCAAAATAATACATGAAAAGAATTAAATGATGGGTTTGTTTGATGATTCTCAACAAGTATATGATTAATTTGAGCTTCGGAGAGCTTGTTAGCACCTGGAAGACTATGTATCTGAAACTTGCTTTTAGCATTCAACATTCTTATCAAATTTGATTTAAACAAGAGTTGAAGTAAAGCGCATATTAATTATGTATCAGTATTCATTTGAAAAGTAAAACTGTCAACAAGTCAATGAATCAATGATCTTATTGTACTTATTAATCTTTTACTATTTAAAATTACTATCACATCTGCGGAAAAATTAGGCAAAAAGAGTCCCCATACTGCATTGCTATTAAAGAAAGAAAATTGAAGAAATTCTTTTGAGACCACTCAAGAGGGAACTCAAAATGAAAAACAAGAAAAAAAACTAATGAAAGTTTATAGAAAACCATGCAAAATAAGTATTGTGTCCCATATTGCTGCAACTTTCTCATCAGCCGGCGGCCGCTTCCAATTTTCTTGGAGCTTCGTTTCTCCGCCACCGACCGAATTCTTCTTCTTCGCTGATTAACGCAGAGTTGCCCCCCGGTGTGTCCTCTGGTTCCTTGTTTTGCTGGTTCTTCGTTGCCGGCTCTTCCCCATATTCTCCTTGGGTGCTGGTTCGTGTTTTTGTCCCCGCCGCTGCTCTGAAATTTTTTTTTGGAACCACAACTTGCTGTTGCTTCGTTCCTCTCTGCTTCCCGTTTTTTTGTTGCTGTTGCAGGCTGCTGTTCGTGTAGTTTGCTGCTGCCTTCCTTCTTTGCTGCTGCGGCTGTCCTCTTCTCCTTCTGTTCATCATGTCTGAAGTCTCCTCAACTGTGCAGCCTAATTCTCAGTGGCGAACAACTCCACTACCGCGCCATCTCTTAATCTCCAGCCGAGTCTTCAATCCCTAAACCATACGTTCACGATCAAGCTTCAATCAAGGGCTAATTATCCGGTGTGGAGATTGCAGTTTACTCTGCTGCTTAATATGCTCAAAGTTTCCGGCATCGTGGACTGTTCCGAACCACCCCCGCCGCGTTTCCTCCCTTCTGTCAGTGAAGCGCCGCCTCAACCAAACCCTGCCTTCGACATGTGGCATCAGAAGGATCAGATGGTCTTCTCCTGGATCCTCTCTTCTGTCACCGAGGAAATTTTTCCCACACTTCAGGGAGCCACAACTTCGGCAGCTGCGTGATCTGCAATTCAACAAGGATACGGCACCCTTTCCTACGCCCACCAGACTCAATTGGTGCTTGAACTCCATAACCTTCAGAAAGGAGATCAATCCTTTTCTTCCCTTCTTCATAAAGCCAAGGGAATTACCCATTCCCTCAAGCTTGCTGGTCATCAAATTTCGGCGGCTGAATTCAACGCCATTATTTTTCGCAAACTTGGGATTGAATTTAATGGCATTATTGGTGCCTTGCAACAGAAGGATGCACCTCCCTCTTTTCAAGATTTGTTGGGTCAATTGGTGTCTTATGAAGTTCTCCTTCATGTCCAGCAACCGGTTTCTTCCCCGACGGCCTTGCTTGTGCAATCTTGGCCACCCGGCGCGCAGCCACCGGCCTCTCGTGGTGTTGGTCGTCGTGGCTATTCTTCTCCGACTCTGGGTCAAACTTGTCGACTCTGTGGAATTTTGAATCACACCGCTGCTACTTGTCGCCGTCGATTTGACTCTAGTTTTGTCCGTCGGCCACCTTAGCTATCCGCAGCTTACACTCAGTTTGTGTCTCCATCCCCGAATGCCCCAGGGATGTTGCCTCCTCCTTATCCAGATTTCACTATGACTTCTCTATCTCACATGGTTCAGGCTCCCTCTCATTCTACTCCTTGGCATCTGGATACTCCTAGATTTCACTATGACTTCTCTATCTCACATGGTTCAGGCTCCCTCTCATTCTACTCCTTGGCATCTGGATACTCCTTGGCACCCGGATACTGGTGCTACAGATCATGTGACTCCGGACTTGTCATCACTCAGAATCTCTAATGACTACCATGGTATGGATCATCTTCTTGTTGGTAATGGTGTTGCTTTACCTATCAAGCACGTTGGTCAATCTGTTTTGCCATCAATTTCCCGTCCTTTATTTTTAAATCGCGTCTTGCATGTTCCTACTCTGATACCAAGTTAGGAATATAGAAAACTCTTTTCATTGATTAATTCATACACACGTACACGCTCCTGCTCTGATACCAAGTTAGGAATATAGAAAACGCTTTTTATTGATTAATTCATACACACGTACACGGTATATATATACATATACATAAGATATGGTAAATACATATTTACTACAATACTCTCTGATGAGGAAAATAAATGGATGGTCGGCACTGGTCATATAAGGAACTTTAACCTTGGTGCCATTCGAGAGGTGAAAGTCATGCTTCTTCGTCTTGGATGCATCAAAATTGTTGTTCCAGACCCCTTTAAAATACAAGGCGTTTGCAAGAATAAACCTCCTCAATTCGTTGAAGGCATTAGGCGGGATGAGATTTGTGATAAGGCCATTTGTTCCGCTTTCCGCCCATTCATTCACCTTAGTAGCTACCTCAGCGGCCTGGTTTTCGAAATCAAACCAACTGGTCCGGGCTTTATAAACATTGTCCGCAACGTGTTTGAAATCGGGCTTGAAAGAGAGAGATTGATCAATCCAGGCTCCGTTCACAAAGGATAACATAGGCCCACCAGAGTGACTGCCATCCACTAATACGGAACCGATGAGTGCAGAGGACAAAGTGTTCAGTTCCTCGAGGGAATCGGAGTTGAGGAAAGACAGGAATTGGTCTCGGGTGGGGCCTTTCGACCCGGTTGCCACAAACAAAGCAAGGTTGATGGAAAGAGGCGAGAAAACGGTATTAGCGTTGCTTTCAATCACCCTCAAGATGATTGGTTTTGCCATTGCCACGGCGGCGGCGTTCTGGTTCCCGACCAATCTTCTGATCTCCTTTGGTTGTTGGAGAAGCGGGAAGCCTTCCTCCTTGTGAGGTGTTTTCCTCTGTTTAGAAGTTTTCCTCTTTTTAGAGGTGAAACTCGAGGGGGGTGAACTCGTCTTCATCCTTCTTGATGATAGTTTGCCGAGGCGGAGAATAACAGCGGAGGAGGGAGGAGCGGGCCGTGTACCGGGTTGTTGATTACTTATGATTCAAAGAACAGAAGGCAAAAACTCGGAGAGAGAGGATCAGAGGAAGAGGAGGAGGTTGCGACGAGTTGATGAAGCCCTCATATCTGTCGCACTCGTCCGAATTGGATTGGGCCTTATACTCGTAGACGCTCTGCCATATTTCGGGATTCAATACCTGAGCTATTTTTATTTACAGTTTAGTTAATTTAATTTATTATTACCTAGGGCTAGTTTTGGAGACATTAATTCTATTTTCTATCACTAAATTACTAGTTGTAATCTTTCTATCCGTGTCACTTTCCTGTGATACTCTCTGTTGCACTATCCAATTATTTTGTTTATAAATAATATAATTTGTGTTCATAGATAGACCATAAACACATGTTTTCATGTTGTTTTATTTTTTTTTGTCAATGCTTTATTCTTAATAAAATTTGTCTATTTTTATTGATTTTTTAAACTATGAAAATTAAAATAAATAGGCCTTAAGCAGAAAAAAGTGAACCCTTACTTCTAATATATATGACTTTGAAAATGATTATGAATGGTATAAAACTAAATGTTACCCGCACGGTGTGCAGGGTATAAGAATTTATGCTTTATTCAACTATGTTATAATGGTTACCGTAGTGAAGTCTAATAGTACAAAAAAACATTTATATTGAAGAATAAAACTAATCAAAGCTGAAAACTAAAAATTGGCTATGTATTTATTTATATAAAAATATGCTCACATTTAAACAAAAGTCTAATAGAGCTCAACTAATTCAGAATCCAATGTCACCAAAATACCTCCTCTTTCCTTTTTCTTCTTATCTATCAATGATCTATACTGTTTATTCTCTTCATTGAAAGCGTTTAACAAAGTATAAAAGTATTTTAAAAAACAATAATTTCCCTCATTTTGGAGTTATTATTTTTTATGTGTTCTATTCTTGTAGCTTTTGTGCCGATTTTCATTTCTCCAACTCTAGAATTAGGCAACAGAGAAGGAAATGCCATGGATAATTTATTGGGGAGAAAACCATTATCTGGAGTAAATATTTGCTAGAATGAAAAAATTTTATATATATATATATATATATATATTATCTTTTGAAAATTTTAGAACATTAAACGAAAGTTTATTTAATAATGTGAAACTAACGCCAGTGATTTAGGGAATTTGGTTGTGTGTGTGTGTGTGTGTTTTTTTTTTTTTTTGTGATTTGTGGGGAAGTCAATGTTTATATATTTCCATTCATTTGAAGTAGTAGATAAAATTAGTTATGTAGGTTGCATATATGAGATCAATTACAACATCCATTTAAGGTTAGTACTAAGCGTTAAACCCATCCGTTAGATGTAGCAGAGAAACACACATAGATATTATTACATAGAGAAAATGAATATGTTTATTATTTAATGAGCTTTCTACAAAAAAAAAAACAAAAATGATAATTATAAATATAAATATATATATATATATATATATATATATATATATATATATATAGCCCCTAAGTTATTTATACATAGAACTAATGATTTTCTGTTTTCTATTGGGGATTTGGCCGGTAGAATGAGGGTATGCTCACGATGTTTATTAGAACATTTATCATCAAGTGTTTTAATATTTATCATGCTTTGAATTGCCATAGTTGTTGATAAATTTTCATATCTTTAGCTCTAAGTTGCTTATTTTATTCGTTAGACATCATTTGAAACATTACATTTATTGATCAAAATTATTAAACCAGCACCAAAATGTTAGTACAATCAATTGTCACTTGGAAACATTGCTTTCTAAATGAGATATGAGTTTTTGTTCTTTGTGCATGAAGACATCGATATTCAAAAGTACATTCCTACTATTAATACAAATTCTCATGTTTTGAGCCACATTCTATTTTATCATTCCTACAATTCCACGTCTTAACCCAATAAAAATTCTCATTTAAGAAATCTTTAACATTATAATAATTTAAAAGGACACATAAAACACTTATAATTAGATGAAATTAAATCTAATAACCACTTCCACTAATTGACTTTAATAACGAAACTCAATCTTATGTATTTTATGCCACCATAAGAAACGCAAATTTCAAATACTCCTTCATAGTCCCGGTAAATCCTTAGCCATCGACGTCGGCATCATAACCTCAACTACATCATATGATCGTCGAGCGAAGTATTCCCAAAGTGCTTCATGTTTTGGTTTTCAAACAGTCCCTCCAGGATCTTTCAAGGCTTTGATGACCAACGTCACTGTAGATGGGTCGTGCAAGATAGGGTTCTTTACGTGAAATTATATTCATAAATTAAAAGACTCTGAAATAGATATTTACACATTGAGAGATGCAGTACTGCTTCCTTCGTTGAGAAGAAGAGAGATTCATGCTATGGATTAAGGTTAAGCATTGTACGTACTACCTCCAAAAGTCATTAATGTAAACGTTTTATAGAAAACAAATAACCAAGAAGAAGAGATAGATGCATACCTTGGCCATATTTTGAGATTTATAAAACTCAACATAGACTATTTTTTTAGATTGAAAGAACAAAATACTATAAACTGGTGGCTCTCGTATGTATTAAATGACCAGAAAATTTAATTTATCAACACGTAATGAAGAAAATAATCATTGAAACATTTGTTAATGTATCATCACTTAAAAAAATAGCATTTTTCATGATGAATGTAAATTATACATACCCATCAAATCAAGATTTTAATCAACAAAATATTAAATAGTAATAAACTAATTTTTTCAATGAGAAAGAAAAAAGCATCCATCATAGAGAAAATTCATTAAAATAAACAGACAAACATGCTTTCACACCAATGCTTTAATAATTGGCGCGAGTTACTTGATTTGGCAATATAACCTGCAAAAGGTGTACTCAGAACTTCACAAAAAATCGAGGCTTCACAGAGAGACGTGGGATTTTCTTGAGGGTGGTTGCCCCTCTCCGTGAAGCCGATGACCTATTTAAATTGTTCCTTAGGAGAAACCAACCACCCTTCAAGGCATTTGATAACGTTAAGCTTTCTTTACGAGGTTCTTCTTTTGGGTTCGTAATATGAATACATTTCCTTTTGATTCCCATTCACAATCACCAAAAAAAACCTACAAAAGATTCAATTAAATATTTGTCAAACCTCAATATATGTAATGAAATCAGGCTTAGCGAATAAAAAGTGAATACAGATTGGGGTTGTTTGAGAGTTTTGGGATGGAGTAGATAGACAAATATGCGTATGTATATATATTTCAAGAAAGAAAATTGGTATGTATTTATTATATTTGATTGAACAAAATCCAAAATTAACCATGGCTCCCTTCATCTTTTCCTAATTATGCGGCACATTTAATTATTTTAAAATTTGAAATAGTATTGTTAATAATCAGCATTTATAGTATGGTAAATATTTCGGCTAAATAAAAAATAGGTCTATTGATTTGATGAGGCTAAATTACGCAAAAATTAACGTGATCAAAATTAGTGTCAATCCTAAATTTTAATCTATTAAAATTAGGCCAAATCAGCATCAAATCAAAATAACTGACTGAAACGAAATTTGGAAAAGGAAATTCAGAGACTTGTCGAAAGGAAACACAGAAGAAATAAATATGTTAAATATATATATATATATATATATTTTTAATTTGGCCGAAGGGAAGAAAAATCAGTATTAAATTGATGAGGTTTTCTTGCTGTTTTTTTTTCCATATCGGCTTTTTGCGAACCAAATTTTGATATGGTCGTAATCAAAGAGATTATGCATTTAATTTGTAAATTTTTTCATCGAATAACTCAACTTTGGGTTTTTTTTTTTTTTTTATCGGTCTTTCACCTTAATGGTGGTAATAAAAAATGTTTGAATTAAGATATAAGCTTTAAATGAATCAAATCAATATTTACATTTTTTAAATGGAAAGAAACATTAATAATGTTGATTTTTTTTTAAACTATTACTTTTTGACCGAATACAAAAAAAGAAAGTTTACTACCAAATTAATTGATAGAATTTAATTGCAGTCTGATAAAACTTTATTTACTGGAAATTTGAATTACTGTAATTGTTGTAAATATTTTTTCTGTCAAGCTTTAGGAAAATGATACCTAGGACTTTATCCTATGTGGCACCTTTAAAAATCTTTTTCGTTTTCTTTCTCTGATTTCTCTGTTAATATAATACTAGATGCTTGGCCCGGGCGGATGCCCGGGCGCCCCTCTACTTTGATTTTGTGTTAATAGATAAATGAATTCTTGATTTGAAAAAAATAAAATAGCTACACATTTGGTTTTTTCCTCTTTTTAGCCAAAAATAAAAATAAAAATAAATAAATCATCTGTCAAAGGAGAAAAAATATTGAAAAGTACAACGATGCAGAAATCATACAAAAGAATGTGGAGTAATAAAGGGGATAAGTTTATGGGCAAATTTAAATGCTATTTTAATTTGATTGATAAATGATAAATGTTAGGAGTTAAAATTGTGTAGCTATTTTTGTAAAGTAGCTTTTGTTTCTCCGGATAAGAATTTTTTTTTCTTTTAAAAAGAGATGACACGTGGCAGAATAGTTAATGCGATATGGTGAATTTGGAACCAAAAATTTTTAATAAGAAGTTGGCACATCAACATCCTGTATTCTGCTTTAATAGGGTAAAGGGATATTATAGATATGAGAAGTGATAGAGCCAGTGAAAAAAATATAGTGTCATCTTATAGTGACTGATGTAGACATTATATTTATGGATAAAACTATAACTTTTGGGAGGGAAGGAAAAATTTTATATGGGAGAGTGGCTACAAAATAGGGGGGTTATAATACTATTTTAACTAAAAAAGTAGATACACCTCAGTCAGTATAACTTTTCACTATATATTTTCACTATCCTTATCAATTTTCATAAAATATTAATCTATACGATGAAATTTATAC